TACTCACATTCCTGACATTTTTTTCTTGTTTCTTTTATATTTCAACAAAGTCATTAGTAAAAATATTATCAAATATTTGTCCAGTTTTAGACCTTATGTACCTTTCTGCTGCTGAGTAGAATATTTTTTGAGGTGTTCTTTCTGCTTTTGAACATTTCTATTTTATTTTGCATTTATTTTGCAATCATGTAGGTGCTTCCATAATGTTGTATAATTAATTGCAAATTATGCTACTGTGGCACACTCTGGAATAGGTAAATTTTCTGTTAGAGTTACCAGCAACTAGAGAAGCCTTTCTTGGCTGCAGCTTCTGCCTCTCTCTTGGGCTGTATGCAGCTTTGGTGTGTTGGTGTGGGAATTTGGAAATCACTTGCAAAGCTTTTATAGTGGTGCGGACTGGAAGTCTTTCTGGAAGACTGAGTCATTCAAGCCTGAGCATCTCTGGCAGCCCTGCCTTGCTTTGCTTCTGGAGCAGTAGTGCAGCCCAAGACTGACAACTAGGTTTATAGTTCTTTTTGGGAGCCCCTGGTGTTGTGTACAGAAGTTGGAGAAAGTTGACTTGTCCTTAGATTCCTTCACTATTCTTTAGGCAAAAGTGGTCTCATTTGTTTGAACTTGCCTGTGGATAGAAGCTAGAATAGATGCTAACAGTGGAAATTTGTGCTGAAGGTCTCTTGAGTAGCAGTGCTGTAGCAGAATGATGCTAGTGTTAAGCACTGTAGGGTACAGGTTCAGAAATTGGCCCAAAGGTTATATTTCTTTTCCAATGAAATGATCTTTATAGATCTTAGATTGGGAAATTGCGAGTATTAGATCATCTGAGTTTAAGTTTTGTTGTGCTGCTTTTTTGAATTTCTGCTCATCTGACCTCAGTGCTCTACTAAATGCTGTGTTTTATCCTTAAGCATTTTCAGCGTATAGCAGTGTCATTGCTTAGTCTTTACAGTAAAACTTACAAACTTCAAAGAAGATTCTTCTGTGTAGGAAAAGTATGTGTCAGTCTCGCATTTTATTTTTTTCTACTAATTTTAAGTGTGTACTATATGAACAAATTTAGACATGAAGCTTTTCTTTTCATTTTTTACTTCATTTCCTAATAATGGTTGAGTTTTCATTCTAAAAGAAGCATTCAGATATTGATACTGTTGTACAGTTCATACTGTTTGCCAGCTGACTTGCCTTTTAGCTTTAGATTTGAATGATCTCACCTCGTGAACGAAAACTGGAGGTTAGCAGTAGTTTCTGCTATAGCAGAGCAATATAATAACAAGTTGAATAGACTGCAAACTCCTCAGGGCTATAGGACTGTGTCTTTTGGAGTGAATTTAAAGCTTATTTAGGAGTCTACATTAACACAGTTAAACAAAAGCCGATATCGGAGAGCATCCTACCTGTTTTGGGTGTAATCCTGAACTGACATAAGCACTACTAGAAGTTGGTATGTACATGTGAGTTCAATATGGGATTATGCAAATTTGGCTACTTTGAAAAGGCTGTTACTGTGACCTTTCTGTTGTGTGGTGTCTTTTTGGCTGGAAGGAAAAACAGAAACCCATTTACTACCCAAGAGCTACAAAAAGAATTTTTTTAAAAAAAGAGAGTTGAGACATTATTCAAAAGTGCTCATCGTGCCTAGCTCTTCAAAAGTATGTATGATTACTTGTAAAAATTATCATAGGAACCTAAAAGCCCTAAATTTAGGCAGTAATATTCTATGAAGATACTTTAAATAACTGATGTAAATATTACCTTAGATTAACCAAGCAGTAGAGGCAAAATGCATGTATTCATTTAGTAATATAGCTCCCCGTGGTTTTTATATGTCAGACTTGTTGCATCTATCTATGTGTATGTTTATTTATGTGACTCCTTCTGTTTAACCTTAGCTTTCTTAACAAAATTATTATTTTTGCTCTAGGATCTCCAGGCAGCAACCAGGCCTTGCTTCTGTTGCGAAGTTGTGGTGCTTTATTACCAGAGATGGTGTCATCTGAAAGAACAGAGCTAGCCCATATGATATGGGACAAAATGAAAGCGCTGGGTAGGTCTGTTTCTTACTCCCTCATGAAAGAACACCCAGGTGCTTTAGTATTGCCAGGTTGCTCTCTTTGTAACATGGCACTGAATGCATTTTAATGGTGTTTAAATGTTAGGTCATCATGGTAAATATTCATTAGCAAATGAAAACTAGGATTTGTCATTGCAGTGAGAGACCTCTTTCTTATTCTGGGAGTTATACTGACATCTAGGGGTGCTTAATAACAATTTCCCCCCCTTCTTTTCTCCCTTCTCAGTGCTTAATCATACTCCTGCTTGCTTTTCATTGTTGTAAGAATGTATTTTATTCCTCAGATAGGTGTTGGCCACTTACCTTGGTATCTGGTGGCCTGAGTATTCTTAGTGTTGCCAACTATTTTTTAGATGATGTTTTTATTTCAAATTAGTCATTTATCTACAAATGTGTCACAGAAGCACTGCTTCTTGAGCACAGTGTTGCTAAATCTGCAAAATAAATGGCAGGCTGCAGAATGGAATGTATGGGAGAAAAGATATTTTTGTACTCTTGATGTTTTAGCCTTTTAAAAGCAAATGTGCATCATTAAGTAGTTGTTTCATGTTGCGAAGGTGAATAAAAGGAAGCAACCTCATTGTATGTAAAGTTGTACAACAAAATAAAATCAGTATGAAACTAACTAGCTGGAATAGTTATCATATATATAGTTTGGAGAGTCTACACTTGTTTGATTGTCTCAAATATTTCTTTAGGTGCCGTGTATGACGCAAGCCATTATAATGCTTTGCTTAAGGTCTACCTTCAGAATGAGCATAAGTTCTCTCCAACTGAATTTTTGGCCAGAATGGAGGAAGCTAATGTGCAGCCCAATCGAGTAGGTAGCCTCTAATGATGTCTTCTATCCCAAAAGCAGTGTCATTTCTTGGATAAAAATCATGAACTTCTCCTTTATTTTCTGCAGGTTACCTATCAGAGATTGATTGCTGCTTATTGCAACGAGGGTGACATTGAAGGAGCCAGGTATTCCTTGGCATTTATGTTCTGACAAACAGATTTCTAGATGTATTTAGTCAGATTTCCTGCCATTAATGTTCAAACCGTTGTTCAGATGATCCTAAAGTATTTGATGAGCAAAGCAGAGGGCATTAAGTATATTTTAAACCAGCATTGAATAGTAGTTTCTTAAATGCAGCTGAAGCATACGTCAATGAAATAAAAATGTGATGGACCAACGTACTTAATAACATCAATAAGAAAAAAAATTACACAGATGGTCACGATGGCCGCATAATGTTAGCTGCATGAATTTTTAGAAAGGTTACCTTTTAAATTATAGCAGTGCGATTGCTGAGCATGACAAAGATAAAATCAAAAAAACTATCCTCATGTCTATGTATGTTATTAAATGATAAATATAATTCATCAGAAAAAATGAAATTGACTGTATTATGACCATGTTATGCAGCATCCTAAAATATAATTGTTTCATAAAATAATTACCTGCATCTGTTTGATGCAGTACTTGTCCAGCAGCACAGAAATTGCTCAAGACTTTATCTCTTCAAACAATAAAAGTTCTCATCATTTGTAATTTTTTTTTCAGTAAGATTCTTGGATTTATGAAGAATAAAGATCTCCCAATCACGGAGGCAGTATTCAGCAGCCTTGTGAAAGGTCATGCAAGATCAGGGTAATGTTAATACAGTTTTGCTTGTTTTTAATTTACTGCAATATATATTGATACTGTACAGAAAACTTAAAAGCTGCAAAACTTGGAGTAATGTAATGGTTTTGGAAAATACATTTTGTGGCTTTGAAAAATAATCTATAAAAGACCTATGCATGCAGTTTGAGGCAAAACAAGTATTCTTGTATTTGACAAGGTTGAATTTCAGGATAATTATTGTCTTTTTATACTATTTGGGAAAAAATTGCTGTGCTTTAGTATTGACACTTTTTCAGTTGCTGAAGTTGAAGTAAACATTCTGAGTAATAGGATAACAGTGCAAATATTTTGTTTATCTTGGGTTTTTATTTAGTTAAAATATAGGTTTGTTCATGCTTCTTATATTCTTAAGACTGTTTTTGTTCATTTTGTTCCATTTACTTCATTATTAACTAAATGAGAAAATATACAAGTTGCAATAAATATCATGATTAAATCGATTGAGGTTCTTTCTTTTGAATACTTTTAGAGATATGAAGAGTGCAGAAAATATCCTCTCAGTGATGAGGATGGCTGGTGTTGAGCCTGGTCCAGACACCTATTTATCATTGCTGAATGTGTATGCTGAAAAGGGTGATGCTGACAGCATCAAAAAGGTATTTTGAAGTTTGAGTTTAAATATGTTTTGGGTTGTATTATATTCAGTTTTAACTCTGAAATGCTTTTTATCTCTAGGGGATACTACAGATAAAATACAGTAAAAATACTGTATTTTAAAACTTGCTTACATTAGCAAATATTTTTTTGTTTGTGTCTGAATAGTTGGTTAACTGAAACTACTTTTTTTGTACTTTCTTTTTTTAAAAAAAAAGAAGTTTTTCTTCTGGTAGCTGCTTTTTACTTTGTGTGAAGGTATGGTGAATAATGTTCACTAGGGAGTTACTCAAGCGACAGTTTATGTTGTATGGATAAAGTTAAATATGCCTGCTCCCTTCAATGCTGCTGATCTTTCCCATTCAAAAATTTCAAAAACTGATTTTTTGCAGGAGTTACCAAACAGACATAGAAGTAAATTTAGTTGTTCACAGAGCTTAGGAAGGATAATGCTGCTTTAGAGGCTAACTTGCCGTGTACTCATCTGCAAAACAGACTTTTGTTTAGTTAAAGTTTCCACAAGGAAACAGCAGAGAAAATCGATTTGAGTTTAGTGAGTAATATCAAATGGAAGGGCCAACTCAGGGAGGAGGTTGTGGGAAATAATCTATTTCTGTGGCTTATAAATTAAGCAAATCTTCAACCAGCCTCCTTCCTGGCAATAACAAAAAATTTGACAAACTGCAATCTTTTTCAAAGCTTTTTTTTTTATATACCTCCTATATTTAATTAGAGAGATTTGTTATCACTTTATTAGTCCTTTTTCCTTTTAAAATCTACAAGTGTTAAAGACACTTTAGATGATTGGTGTGCTCTTTACCGTCTTCTGTGTGTCTAATACCAGTGAAAAGAAAAAAAAAAAAAAAAAAAAAAAAACAACTTTGCCTTTTTGTCAATGTGTTTTTTCTAATGTATCAGATTTTCAGTCAGTATAAAGCTTGGTAAAGTTAATACTTATTCTTGTTTCCAGACTCTAGAAGAGGTTGAGAAGACAGAAGGGTATCTTATGGATAGGGTTTTGATGCAGGTGATTTTAAGCCTTGCCAAGGCTGGATATCCTCAGTATATTGAAGACATTAAAGAGCGCATCAAATTTGAAAAGGAGTTAATTCCAGGTATGTTCTCAATGTTTTCCATGGAAATAACAACTCAAGGTTTAGAGGACAAATGTTTTCAGGTCATAGCAACAGTAAGTAATGTCTCCAAAAATAGTTGCTTTTTATTGAATATTTAAAGTAATCTAACATTTTTTCCATCTTGTCTATGGATTCATTTGTTCTGCTTTAAATCATTTTTATAGATTTTTCTTAAATATAAAAAAAAATCCTTAATTTGCTTACAAAATTAATATATCAAAATATTATTCTATAAAATTTATTAAACCTTTACAGGAAAGTTGTGAAGTTGAAGTCCTTTCTGCAGGTAACAGTAGCAGAACTTCTGTTACAACAGCTGTTCATGAATTTAACACAAGAGAGATTGTAAAAACTGAATATAACTTTCTTTAAAGTAAAAGTCACTTTTGGATCCCACGGTGGTTAATCTGCTTGATAACTGTTGAAAATCTTCATCTCCTTTTTCCTTTATTTATTTTTTTTAATTTTTTTCCTCTTTTTAAAATGTCTGGAAATGTTTCTCTTATACCCTTCTGTCATGCTACAGTGTGACGGTTCTACAACTTTTGACATGGTATTTCTAGTAGGAAAAGTGGATCCCATTGAAAGCATAAATAATGCTGAAAAAGGTAGTCTCAAATTCGATTATGATTATTGATTATTTGATTGATGCTGAAGAGGATGTCAGTGATACTTTTAAAACATATTTGCTTTCCTTAGTGGCTTAATGCTAGCGTAGTTCATTATACATTTGATTTTGTTTTTCTTTTCTTATTTCTAGATGCAATGAACCTGTGTTTGACTTTGATTACTCAAGGCTTTGAAGACATAAGTTTCCGTATTTTGAAGTCTCTTCATTTATCACGTGATAATATGGACCAGGGTAGCTTTTTCTTACAGCATTGTGTAAATACAGATATGGTATGCAGCATAGTAATTCTTTTGTCTTAAGTATGCCTATATATTATTATATGATACTACTATATATTTATTAGTTTTAGTATTATTATTTATATTTACTTATAATGTAATATGACTCTCAAGATTGAAAGTGGTAGACTTTTTGTGTAGTTAATAAAAGCAGAATGGTTTTAATATTTCGTATTAACTTTACGTAATAAGATTAAATTCACAAAGTATATCTTTGATATCCATTAATGCTTGCCATGCATAATATCCATTTTATAAACACTAGAAGAATCTGACATTCCTAAAAAATATTTAAATGGAAAAATATATTAAAATATTTTTTAAATTTCTTTACAGCCTATGAGCAAGCTGAAACAGTATTGTGATGAGTTAAAAGAAGCAAAAATGCACTCAGCACCTTTACCATTTATTTTGCGTTGTGCTTTGGAGACCAAGAGATCAGGTACTTTGCTTATTTAGTTATTTAACACATGCTTGTTTGATGTACTTGATCACTGTTTAATTATTTTATGAATCCTTTTAGATATGGCCATTGAGGTGATGAAGATCATGAAAGAGGAAGGCTTGCCCCTCAGACCTCACTATTCCTGGCCACTGCTTGTTGCATACCAGAAAGAGAAGAATCTTCAAGGTTAGTTATCTGATATGTGTTTAGGTTGCTTATTTTAAACTTAATGCACAGATTTTTGCTACAACATTGTATACAAATTTAGCAAACTCTTGAAAGTAAGTGAAGAATTGCTGCCTGAGGTATTTTGTTGCAAGTATTTTTTTCCTTCAGAGAGGCTTTTTGAAAACCACCCATCCTGCTTAATCATGGTACAATCCTACAAATTTAAAAGAAAAAATGTGTGAAAGTTTAAACATCTTTTTAACTCTTTGAACTCTTACTGCCTTTCAGTTGCTCTTTATCCTTAGTTTACTCTTGACAAAACAGAAATTTGAGAGAACCATTTGAAATTAAGGCTATGTTACAACTCCTTTGCGCTGCAAAATTATATATATACACATATATTTTTAAACCAACTTCTTATATATACCTTTATAAGTCAAATGTGAATTTACTTACAAGAATAAAAACTGCATGAGAACTTACGTTGCTCCATCTGTGAGCCTGACCTGACAGCCTACTGATTGAAGGACAGAAATGCTCAATCTTTAGGATTCTTAAGTAGGCTTAAGCATTTAGCATACTTTTCCCTGTTACACAGGGGGCTGTCTACGGGATATGAATAAGAATTGAACAAATATTAAATTTTAGAGTACAGTATCTAGTTCTTTGGTTTGCGTTATTGGTAATTCAGAAAGAATGGTATCGTAAAAAGATGCTTTTAACAGAAGTACTTCCCCCTTGGGGAAACAAAAAACTGTCTTTTTCATCTTATCTCACAGTATAATGTGCTTTAGAATGAGATGCAGAGTTGTTAGTGTGACATTGGGTGACAAACAAAATGCACAAACAAAAAAAAAGTGCTTTTAGCAGACTCTTCATATTGCAATTTTATCTTAAATATACAGTCATATTCCAGTTTGGAAGAAATGCTGAAACAAGTATTCCCTAATTGTTTCTGGCTATAAAAATGTCTCAAGCCTTTTCAAAAAGCCTTTGTGAAAACAATATTCAGGTTTTTATTAACTCCTTAGGCTCTGTTTCTGTTAGAGCACTTCCCAAGTTTATCTTCGCGGAGGTTTTCAGAATAATCTTAAAAGTGCAATGATCTTTTCTAAAACTGTAGAAACATTGTTTCAGCTGGGTCACATTTGTAAATAATGTTTATCTTTACTTGAAAAACATTGTAGCCAAAAATAAGTAGTTTGAAACACTTTTCAAACCACATCTACCATATGTAGATGCTGCCTACTAAAATGCTTCCTGTTACTACAAGTAGCACTTCACCTTCTTAACACTAGTATTAGAAATGTTGAAAGCATTAATAGCTTTAGGCTTAGGTCCCAAGACTAAAGCCATACCTGCTTGTTGAGAAAAAACTAAGTTTCAGATCTCATATGATTTCTGGTGAAGAAAGAGGTTGACTCTTAGGTAAGTGTGGACTTCTACTATAGAAATCATCTGTACTTTGACTAGCAGCTTCTGCTGGCAGTCAGGTAAGAAATTTGGGAAGAAAACCAGCGAAGGAACCCTTAAGAGATCAACTTTAGCTTTCTTTACCATATTCTAGGGAGGCCTTACTTTTCCTATCTACAAAGGCATCAGATGCAGAATTTTCTGTATGGCTGTGTGTAAGTATTGTGGATTTGCAAGTATGTTTTTGTGACCTAGCACTTGGTCTTTCAGTCTGCATTTTCAAGTGTGCAGATTAGTTGTGCCTATACCTGCAAAGGTCAGTAAATATACAATTCTTAAAACAGAGGAGAGAAGCCTTCTGTGTGCTTTCTTCTGTAGTGAAAAATCAGTATAATTGCTTTACTGTGTTCTTAACCATGTGTAAGCTCACTTAGGTTCATTTCTAAAATTGAACAAATAATAAAATAATAAAATGAGATCCACTGTCTAAGAAGCAATACATCTGAAGAAAAGTAAATGGGAAAAAAACCCTGGAATGATTTAATAGAAATAATGAAGAGTAATGCTGTAAAGAGGATGTAGGAGTGCCAATAGAAAATGTATTAGAAAATGGTGCTTTAGTACAGTTAAAAAAATAAAAAATTGTAGTATAGATAGACAGTGTATCATGTCTCCTAACAAAAAGGAGGTGATAATTGCTTTTTCCCCCAAGTATTCCCTCAGTATGGGGAAGTCTGAACATGCAGGGGGGAAGCTTGGGGCAAAACCAAAACTACCAAACAGCTCGTATAACATAGATAATAAGCTAAATAATCATTAAAGGGCAATAAAAATATATAAGCAACAACCTATCCAGAGCCAAAAGGAAAAAATGCCTGAATCAATAAGCGTAACATGACCCAAGCCATTACATAAGTAGTAGCAATCCTAATTACATTAGGGAAGCTGACACTGGATATCAAAGAAAATTATTAAACTTCTGTGTCTTGGAGTTGAGTCGGAGAGAAAAGCAAGAAAGTGGAAGCTAGTACACATAAAACAAAGCAAGGAATTGTTTAAGTATGCCATGGAGAGATCGGCCTCTGAGAGACAATGACAGCTATTTTCAGTCTTTTAGTGCAAGGAAATAATTTTAGGTGGGGCATGCTTTTATGTGCATCCGTGTTACATAAGTTGATAGCGGTTTATTTCCATAGGTTTATCCAAATAAATGCTGTTAAGCCCTTCAAGGACTCTCTAAAAATATAGATCACTATGTGGTAGATCTGAAAAGGTTATTGGCACTGGAATTCACCCTGTTTCAGATGATACAATACAACCAGGGAGGGCTGCATAGTTAAGTAGAAGTTCTTGACTTACGTTGCGGTGAGACATAGCGTAGTCACCTTCCATATAATCCCTTTATTTGTCTTTAAAGGAAGTTTTACAAAATCTGATTGTTTTTTTCCATTTATGTAATGCAGTAAATTGTTTTTATCATATGAACAAGGCTCAATTAGTGACTGTTAATTCAGTTTTTATTTTGTCCCAGGTTGGACAAAAAGGTAAATAAAAGTGTGCAAGTCCCTCAGGGGGAGGGAGGATAGTGAATTTCCCAAATAAACACTTGAAGTATTGCTTTGTAGAAAGTCTTTCAGCAAATAAGCTTTCTGAGGACATCTGAATTTAAAAGTATTGCAAAGATGTTTGTGATACTGTGCTGTCATCTTTAATATAACCTCACATTTCGAACTGGATTTTTTTCAATACACAAAAGCACAAAAAACAGCTTTAAGCCCCATTTTTTTTGCCTTTGCACTTGTTGAACTGTATTTTACTGCTTTAGAAATTCCACCCGTTCTCATGGCATCACTTCAGGAAGAAGATGCTTGCTGTGGACAGATAGGAAATTCAAGTGGACTGAGCTACAAGCCTCACTTTTCACCTTTGCGAAGCAGCAAGTTTCTCAGACCAGCTTGTAGTTCATTGCTTCTGTATTTCTTCTTGGATATACTGATTTGAAGCAGGAAGGTTACTTTCTCTTGCTTCTGTTAGGATGTTCAGTGCTTTTTCCAGTGAGGACAAAAAGGAGGACAGAAATATTTGTCTTCTGTTCCCTCCTTCGGTATTCTTTTTACTCAGTTACTTGATTTTGGGTACCTAGTTTGACCAAACCTTACATATCTCAACACAAAATAGCAAAAAATGATCTAGGTCAAGAAGAGAAACTAGTTTTATGGGTGTATTGAAGATAAAAACTCAGTAGAGTTTCTGAGCATTCGCTGCAATGAGTCAATGTACTAAAACTTTGATGTGGATGCTGCATCTTATTACCCTCATTAATATTTTTGTTTTTTCACTCCAAAGACAGAAAAAATACTAAGAATTGTCTATAACTCCAGGATACAGACAAATTTATTTTTAAAAAAAGTTCAAATTGATGCAGACTTTTTGAATGAGCTATCAGATAGACTAGAGATAGCAGTTCTTAGTAAAAGAACAAAGAATTACATCTCTACAGAGGAGAGAAAAGCGGGAGAGAATTACTAATTCTTTATCAAAGGCCTTTCGGTGGTGAACGTTGTTTTTGTTATATTCTTGTTGCTGTTAGGTAGTGCAATTGCAATTCTGTCTGCCTTTTTTTTTAGGATGTTCTTTGCTTCAGGGTGAGAGAGGTTAGTGTATTGTCAAATATTGTTATTAGGAGCAAAGATTTTCCAAAAGCAGGTACATCCTCTTTCATGCACACGCTCAACATTATTACAGTGTTTTGCTTGAATCGGGAATGTTTTATTGCTTTATAGTGGCAAAGACATTTATTTGATAATAAAGCAGTTCCTGCTCTCATTGAGGTGGAAAATGTTGTAAGATTTTTTTTTTGATTTTCAATATAATTCTGCTATTCAAAAAAAAAAAAAACCTGCATTGGCTACCTCAGAGATGAAGAAATATGTGCCAGAGTTTTTCCTTTGTTTTTTTGCTGTTGGTGGTTTCTTTTTTTTTTTTTTTTTTTTTTTTTTCCTCTCTCTCTCTAATTTGGCGTTAATTTGGCTGTGTTTGGTATTGTCATTGGCGTGCCTTCGTCTGCATCACAGTCTTCTGCTCGTGTCCACACGTGTCCTTTTCTGCTCAGAAGCTGTGCCAGGCAGCATGAAGCCTCTGTGAGCGTTTTCTAGTAGGCAGTGGGGAGGCATTTTCTGCACTCTTCTAAATACAGATTTGAGCCTAAATCTCTGGAGGCTCCTGCACTTCATTCACTTGTGCTATCCAGTTCTGTCTTTAAACAGCTACTCCTAGTGATACCATTTCAAACTCGGTTACTTCTGAAAAGGCTTTAACGTAAGAGGGCTTAATACGTGTTCTGGGAAGCTGCAAACATGAAATAGAAGCTAGCTGTCAAAATTTGAAAGGTATCAAGAAGGACTCAGTGTTATTAATTCTTTATTCATAATTTTGCAGATTCTGGGCCAAAATTGGACAGAGTTTTGTTTAAGGCAAACTTGAACAGATGATGCGACTTTAATCTAGTGTGACTTGCCTGCATGTATTTTTAAGTGCTCAAAGGGAATTCACATTTGATTATTTGCACCGTAGTGCACTGCATAAAATATTCATGGAAGTGTCACTTTTCCATAGGTGGCACTCCAGGGCAAAGATGGGGACTTTGGGAAACTTTACATTTTTAAAGTAATAACTATGAAATGTAAGTTGAAAAAAACATATGCTGTTTGGTACTGGTGTCCTGCAGCAACTGACAAATCATTTTTAGACCAGTAAAAAATGGTGATACCTGTATAGGTTTTGACAGGAGCTCAGAGTTTGCTAGCTGGGGCTATTGTAGGAAGTTTTTGCAAATCAGAAGAACGTAAGCAATTAAAAAGAAGCACAAAATATACTTAAAAAGTATTTACTGAAACTGCTTTAAGATTTGATATTCTTTGCGTTCAGATGTGTATCTACAATGCTAATATAAAGTCTGGTTGGCCAATTTGATTGGAATGTAATGCAATTGTTGTCCAGTTTCATTTGGGGTTTGTGGGAACTTGGGGTGCTCCAGACTTGCTTTGAATTTCCAGATAGAAGCTGATTTACTGAAATTAAAACTTATCAACCCATTTGATTACAAAAATGTTATTTTATTTTGTAGACATCTATGGAGATCTTGCAAGCTGGTCTATTAATTAGCTTGGGTGCTAGGAAAAAAGTGAAGAAGATAGTGTTGAAGAATGAGTTTTTATCTTGAAAATGATTATGTAATTAAAATAAATTACCGATTTGTGGGTTTTTTCAGGCTTAGTAGCATTGCTAGTAGCTTTTAAAGCATATAGCTTTAGAAGATGTATTGTGAAATGGCTAACAATAATTAGCATATCTTTCCCGGTGTTAGAAAATAACTTTCTACGCTACCGATTTTCAAACTAGTGAAGAGTTTGGTGCTCTTGATGGTGCAGTAACTAAAATGAAAAATTCAGGATTTTGCATTGCAGGTATAGAGAAGGAGGTGGACATGTCCTTTCTTATTTTTGAAAATGAGTGCTCTTTTTTTCTTTTTTTCCTTCTCGAGTTCTGTTTTCTGAAATGTTTGAATCTTCTGAAACTTTAGTGTCCCCAATTTTGCTTTGATAGGTGTCCTTAAGGTCCTCAAAGTGATGCATGAGTTGGGAGTGGAACTTGATGCAGAAACTTACGCAGACTATGTTTTTAAAAATTTCCCTGATGTTGAAACTGCCCGTACTCAGCTGCAGGTGAGTTTAAATCGTAAAAATAACTGTTGCATAGTTGTTTCTGTGTGTGTTCTCTGAACGATTCAGATTCCACTAATTTTCTGAATACACTCTTATATGATCAAGTCTGCCTGTTGTATTTTAGATTATTGAAGCAATTGTTTTACTGGTGGCTTTTTTACTGTGCTTTTCTCTTCCTTCCTTTCTCCTTCTCGGTGCTAAAAACATAAACATAATAATCTTTTAGTCTATGACACAAGTATTACTGGTTCAGTAATCAATCTTCATGTGTGTTTTTTTTTTTTTTTTTTTTTAATTTCCTCGTGTGTTGCATAATTTGGGTCTGGAGGTTAAAAAGTTTCTAACTGTTCCTCTGTGCTTTTGGTACCATTCTTTTTAGTAAGAAAACTGGATAAATCTTGATCAGTGGTAACTGATCTAGGTAGCTGTGTAGTGTGGATGTCTGTAGAGCACCTTCAGTGTTCTCATCAAGTATCAATACAAAAATGACAGTGTCCTGTGGGAAGGAAATATTTTTTTAAAAAAATACAAAGTATCAGAATGTCTTCTCTGTGTTTATTTATAATGATTGATTTTTATCTCTAGGAAAATAACTGCTTGGTTGATACTATTGGATTCCGCATAGCAGAAATAAGACATGAAGCAGCTCGTGGAAAGCTGAAAAATGTTCTTGCTCTGTGTAAGTATCTCTAATGTTGTATGTTACCAGGTGCTTACAGTCCTTTGCTTATAAGATAACTTAGGTTGAGATTTACAGCCTAGAGGTTTAGGGATATTTTAAAAATGGATGGATGTATCGAGGCTTTTATTATGTGGGGGTCCTCTTTGAGAGGATGTGAGACTGTTCATTGAAACTGCCAATTCCAGACGACATATCTTTGTTAAACCTCTTTTTTATATTGAAATGGGCCATACAATTTACTTTTTTATACATGCACACACACCTGTATATATATATACACATAGGAATCACAACCATGTACACTGATCAGAATTCTCTCATAGATATTTTAAGAAGGCCTAAGGAAGCTTTGGCTCTTGTGTGTTGGTTCTGAAGACTTTAATGCAGGATTGTTTCTGGTTTGTGTATGGTGGGTTTTTTTTGTTGTTGTTGCTCATGGCACCAGTTGCAGTATGGCTCTGAACAAAATTATTGCAGACTGAATCAGCTTTAAAGAACTGATCAGTATAGACAATAATTTGAGGGTGCATTAGTCTGTGGAAGTTGCATGTATGAATTTAGCGGGCTAATTAGGTGGTAAGGTTGTGATAGCATAAATTAATGATCCAACTCAAGGGTTTTTTCCTAACAGACAGTAAGACTATTTTGATGGCCAGTGTTGCAAAAGTCATGTCATTAACTGAGTGTGGCACAATTTCATGGTTAACTAGAAGCACACCCATTTCTTTTGAAAATTTAAACAAGATTTATATTTACTAATGTACTCATTAATAAAACCCTTGAGTTTGGACTAAATCTGATATGGAAGAATCCCATTTTAAGCAGAAATTTTATGTCCAAGGCTGAGGCAGAAGTGTAAACAGTTAGTTGCTTGCAGTCTCTACACCATGCAGTTGGGAGACTGCGTTGAGACTTTTAAGTAGCATGAGCTGGAAGATAATAGTAAAATGGAAAATAGTCTTCTGTTCATCTAAGATGACAAATATTAAACTTCTAAACTTCTAAAAAGTGTCCTTATAAAACTGAAGTATGTCAGTGATATTTTTTCAATTCCAGTAGCTAATAAAATTATGCTGAAAAATAAGTAGTTAAGTATTTATTTAATACTTGTATTAAATAGTTATTTTTAGGAATTAGCTAATCTTTGAGGTTCTTTACATTGTGTCATCTTTCGCTCTTATTCCAACAAAAAGCATTACCCTTGAAAAATGCAAACGTCCTCCCTTTGAATTCTTTTGAAAGGGCAGTTGTTTGATAAGACAAATGAAATATTTCAGTTTCTAGAAGCTATTTGGGTTTTTTGCCTACATGAAAAAATAGGGATCCCACATACACCCCATTTTTGCTAACTAGGAAGGTCAGTTTGGAATGTGGTACTAACAGGCTGTATACCATCTTACCAGCATGAAATTAGCCCTACATAATGTATTATTTAGCTGTTGTCTATGTGCCGTGTGTCTTAATTCTTGTAGTGGTATTTCTTTTTACGAAGACAAGGGTTAATAATTCATGGGATCCTACAGGATTGCTTTTGAACTTGAGCTTTAAAGGAAGATACTCCTATAAATAGTCTACCAAGCTGCAGTGAATGCTGATAAATCTAATTAGCACCTAAGAAATGATAAGGCATAGTTATTAATCAGTTGAATTTTTGTGAATTGGCTTCTTTTGCAGTATTACAAAGAGGAAAAATAGATGTGATGCCGAAAACAGTTCAGGATTGCCTCATCAGTGTAGTGAGGGAAGGCGAAGGTTGGGTATTAATGCTGGTTGCTCTCTAGGTTTATTGATTCAGCTTCTCATGCCTCAAAATGCATGGATTTCTGCTTCTGCCAAGATGAAAACTCTGAAGCATCAGCTGAGGCACCGGGGCACGCGCGGCAGCAAACGGAGCCGCTTTTCCCTTTATCCTGCCGTTCCTCGGCGCTCCCTTGTCAGCCGCTTATTTTCCAAGGCTTGTTTGTTGCTAAGGAAACCAGGCTGCCGGTTGCCAGCGGCGGCCGAGCGCACGGAGACGCTGCCTGCGCCTCGTCCTGGGAGCGAAAAGTTTCTTGTGCCGCCGGAGCCAGATCTGGGTTGAGGCTGTCTTGAAATCCACTTCTCCTAAGGCTTCCAAGCTGAAATAAAACACTTGCAACATTCGTTTTCAGTTTCCAAATGCTTGGTGTTTGACCAAAGGGTAGTTTAGTGGGTGTTTATTCTGCTTTTTATTTCCCAAGTTCTGAAAGAACTGAGGTTTTTATTCCAATTCTCTTCTACCTTACACAATATTGTAGGCTTTGCTGAAGGGACCTGGAGGGCCCCCTTTTCAACTCCTCGTTCCTTCGAGGGACTTGATACCAAATTGAGATTATGATAACTTCATACATACATTGCTGTTTTTTCTGGAATGAAAGACAGTTATGCTGCGTGCAGACAGTATAGCAATTTGAAGGACTTAACCAAGGAAAAAGATGCAAAGATAGACCATATATGTAAAAGAGCTCTAAGGAACATCTGGTTTTAAATGATGATATAGTTTCTTTAATGTTTATCCAATATTATAAGTATCAGCATTTAGAATAGAACAGCTCAGGGCTGTTAAAGGCTTGTGTCTTTTTTTCTTCATTTTTCTCCCTTAGTTAATTATGTGAATTTTATCAACTTAATTATGTGATTAGCACTTTATATAGATTTAATTTTTGTTTCTTGTCAAGTAGTTTATGTGAGCAGAAATAAATATCTTTAAAAATATCATAAAAACAAGAAAGTTGTGAAGCCTACTTTAAGGTGTTTTTTAAGGCTTTTTTGTTTGTTTTTGTTCCAAAACTACTGCCTTAAGTTTTCTTCGTTAGAGTTTAGGGGGTTTTTGGTTTGTTTTTACAGAGTTTTTCTTTGGTCTTGTTAATTTTTTACAGAAGGTGCTTAGTCCTAATACTGATTTGCGTGGAAGACCAACAGGTATTAACTGTTGGTTGTAGGGCAATGAAAAGTCATAGTCTCTCTCTTAAAATACTTGATCCCTTTGGAAAGGGAGCATATTAAGAGCTGATAAAAGCCAGATCTTTTTCTGCTATATCCACTATATTCTTAAGACGTTTCTAGATTTACAAACATTGGTTAGCATTC